GCCACTTATATCCCATATGGGGCCCACCTAGGTGTGCTGGCTGGGATCCCTCTTCATCAAATAAATGAATATATATATATATATATATTATATATATATATATATATTATATATATATATATATATATATATACTTAAATCTAAATGGTTTTAAGCAAAAACTATTTTTGGAGGCTGATATTATATATATATATATATATATATATATATATATATATATATATATATATATATAATATATATATATATATATATATATATATATATATATATATATATATATTCACACACACACACAAAGAGCAGTAAAGACTGTTTCCAGTTTACCTTGGGAACATATGAATGGATGTTTTTTTCCCCCTATTTTAGGATCATTCTGCTATTGGCTGCTTCATCTTGGAACAAACCAACTTTTATCCTCACCTCTTCCAACAAGCTGAGGAGATAGTAATGAAACACCGCGATGCGGTCTGTAATTAGGTTCTTCATGAGTTCACGAATTAGAAAACATCACCGATTAATCGTCCCTCTGCCCATAACGGAGCGGAAACGCTTCAGTCACCTTCAGCCAGTGACGGTTGGTCCGCTCTCCATCGGGAAAGGAGGGAGGGTCAAACATGGCGTCCGAGGAGGTCCGTTATGTTCTTCATTACTCTCCTTCTCGCGTTTCATAGAGCCTTCCCGTCCCGTTCCACAAACAGAGCAACCCGGAGTCATTGCTAGTCGTTGCTGGAACGTTTCGGTTCAGGTGGTTTATTTTAGCGTGGCGTGTTTGGCTCTGTGGGAATACGAGCGCAGCCTCGGGAATGTTGTCCTTCGCGTCGACGTCTCTAAGACATTAAACTCGTTTTCCTCTGAAAGAGCCGCCGTTTGAAAGCGCCGCCGGGTTTGCTCGTAGTAACGGGGCTCAACTTCAATGTTTATGAGAGAAACGACTTCATATCCCTTTCGTCACTAATGGCAGCGCAGTTTATTTTTAGTTATGACCACAGACTGGCTGCCGCTGAGCGTTTAACACCCATTCAGACTCAGATATCGGAATGCGGCGTTTGGTTCAGTTTGTCATACGGAAAACTCGCCTCGGTATCGTGTCTGCGTGAACTGTGGACGGCCCTGTGGTTAATGAGACCGCAGTCCAATTTTGAGTGCTAAACTTGAGTTCAGCAGTAAAGGGTATCTTGAAGTTTAATGCGCATTATTTGGTCGCCTTGTCTTGCAGGAGAGCTCCAACGGCCCTGTGAAGAAGTCCATGCGCGAGAAGGCCATAGAGAGGCGCAACATCAACAAGGAGCACAACAGCAACTTCAAAGCGGGCTATGTACCCATAGAAGAAGAACGTCTTCATAAGACTGGGCTGAGAGGACGCAAGGGAAACATGGCTGTCTGCATCATCGTGCTGCTCTTCCTGCTCGCCTTAATTAATCTCATTGTAAGGCGCTTCGCCTGCCTGCAGAGCTTGCAAAGAAATATAATCCTTTTGGACGTTTTCTACACCTACAGTCCAAACAAACTTTATTTAGTGTTCCACAGGAAAGATGGACTAAAATTGGTGTCTAATTCTGGAGTGGAAGAGAGATGATGAGTGTTTTCCCACAAGATTTTTACCAGTGCAATCTTAAAAGTGTGGCATGTGTTTGTATTTAGACCCACACTGTGTGTGTCTGCTACAAACTGAACTTTTTTGCTATTTTTTTCTTATAAAATCCACTAAATGTGATCCTATCAGATGGAGAGCATCTGGAGAAGGCAATTTTCAAGTTCAAATTCTCACTGAATTTAAGTTTAAACTTTATCTGGAAGGAAAAAACCCCAAACGCTTTAATCTTTGTTTATAATTGTTATTCTGAATGGTAGACCTCCCCTCCGTTCTTACAAGAGTCTGCTTGTAGCCTCAAGCAGACTCTGTGCTAGGATTCATTACCTTTATCAGTCTTCCCATTAATTATGATCAGTAGTCCCTGTTGAAAAAATGCATTCCCACTTCATGATGCTGCATGAATTGGGCTGATGGGCAGTATTAGTTTTCCATCTTACCAGAGCCCCTTCTTTATGACTTGTTGCAAACTGCAGTAAAACTTCATATGGTTTCTATTCAACAAATGCTGTTCTCTGTCCCACTTCCCAAAAAAAAATACAGTAAAGTTTTGCTAGCACCTTGACAAAATGCAAAATAGTTGAATGGTTGTGCCCCACGTCTGTCTGGACAGGCGAGCTCTGACTCCACTCCTCTGTCACTCAGATCACGCTGGTAATATGGACGGTGATCCGAATCGGCCCGAACGGCTGCGACAGCATGGAGTTCCATGAGAGCGGCCTGCTGCGCTTCAAACAGAAGGCCGACATGGGAATTGTTCATCCTTTGCACAAGAGCACGGTCGGCGGCCGCAAAGACCAGGACCTGGTCATTGTGGGCAACAACAACCCGGTGAGAAAACCGTTAGACCCGTCGAGTTTTCTCCAAAGAAATGACAGCATTTGAAAACCCAGTCAGAGCCTCTTGTCTGTTCTTTTGCTGTGTCGTTCCAACAGGTTGTTTTCCAGCAAGGCAACACAAAGCTGAGCGTGGAAAAGGACAAGACCTCCGTGGTCAGCGACGTCGGCATATCCTTCACAGACCCTCGGACGCAGACGACTTTCTTCAGCACAGACTTTGAAAACCACGAGTTCCACCTGCCCAAAGGAGTCAAAGTCCTCAGTGTTAAAAAGGCATCCACTGAAAGGGTGTGTAGGGAAGAACGGCCTCTGCTCTGACGGCTGTGTGCAAAAAAAACCCAAAACATGATTCATTAATCATATGTGGGTTTTACAACCTGTGCAGGCGATATTGCTCTTATTGCTGTCTGTAAAAGTAAAAATTGATCGAAAACGAAAGAGAGATAGTAGATACTGGCCAAATATCCCCTTGTCTCTTTGCCAAAAAAAAAAAAGTGTGAATTGTTTTGAAGTAATGTGGTTGTTAATTTATGCAGTTTCTTGCAAAAATTGACAGTGCAATTCCAATTGGTGTGGTGCTAAAACAAAAGCACCTCAAGTATGGAGTAAATGAGTGAAAAAGAAGGGGGGGTCTTGGAATTTTCTGCCATGTAATCCTGATGTATTTTCTTTGTGCCTTTCTCATTTCAGTGACATATTTTGCTCTTTATTTTCAGATCACCAGCAGTGCAACATCTGATCTGAACATCAAGGGAGACACTAGGGCCATCATTCGCGGTAATGAGGGAGTGAACATCATGGGCCGCACTGTGGAGTTTAAAATGGGTGGAGACATTGAGCTCAGAGCTGTAAGTACGAAACATAATGACATGCTGTATTTATTATGCTCAGAAACTTTCATACTCTCATTTTTAGCTCTCAGTGATTCATTTCAACTGCTCTGGAAGGATGAGACCTTGATCATTTTATCCAATTTCCTTCTTATGATTAGTGCGGTTTGAGTCACACCTGGACACAGATCACGTCTGCATGTGGCGATTAACAATAGTCATCCCATTGTTGCCAACTTGTTGTTAACATCCTGCTGCTGCCGGCAGCTCAGTATTTTAAAGATTGGTGATCAGCCAGAAAACTGCAGTCGATGCAATCATACCTGCTGCAAAGCAAGAAGAATTCAAAGAACTATTTCAAAGCCTGAAATCAACATTCATGGTCACAACGAGGACACACAAACCTCATACAGTCTTCGTATCTTGAAGAATAGATGCACTGACGATGTTTTCGTCTTTGCAGGAGAACAGCATCGTCCTCAACGGGTCGGTGATGTTCAACGCCACGCGCATTCCCAGCTCCACAGACCTGACATTCAACGACGGCCTGGAGAGGTACAAGCTCTGCATGTGCGAAGATGGGACTCTGTTCCGCGTACTGGTGAAGTTTCCCAACATGGGCTGCCAGATCTCAGACAACCCGTGTGGAAAAGCTCACTAGCGCCGCCGTTCCATCCGCCTGCAGTCGGTCGACTGTGAAATCCGGCAAATCTCTTTCAAAAATGTGCATTTTGGGACTGAGTTCAGTTTGAATTTTGGCAGTTAAGGTGTGTCGTTTCTGAGTGCCAAATTTACATTTTATTACAAATCCATCCAAAGATATTACTGGAGTTCATCAAAAAAAAAAAAAAAAAACACATTGTTTTTATAAGATTCATCAACCTCCATCCTAAATTCAGAAAACTTTTGTAAACAATAAATTGTGCAGTTCACGCCGCATGTTTGTAGCAATCAGAATCTGCTGTATTTATTTTCTGCTTCTCCATCACTTCACATCTGTTCACAGGAGGGTTTGTGTAAAAGTGCTAACACTTCATCGAGACGCGATATAATAAATAACTTAAAAATATGCCGAACTCAGACTGGCGCATAATAGAGAACATCCCTTTCTGCACACGTTGAACTGTTTATTATGCACGTGCCAACGGATTTAAAGGGATAAAATGTTATTTATATTTTACTTAAATTGTGAAGCTTTTCTAATGCTAAATGTAAGGAGTGTACAAGTTGTGCAGTGCCTTGCAAAAGTACTCACACCTATTGACCTTTTCACATTTATACAACATCGATTCCCATCCGATTAACAATTACGCTCTACTTTGCCTCAAGGTGCATGAATAAAATAAAAATAATTTTTAAAAAAACATTGGAATTTGTTGTCGGCCTTGTCATGTGGAAAGTTCATTGGGTGGGAATACTTTTGCCAGGTAAGTGCTGATATCTTTACGAGGCAAGAGTGCTGAAAGTGGACGCCGTTTTAGAGTGGTTTGAAATTTTTGTGCAATACAATATAAAAAGTTTGACTGTTGCCTTGGGTTGTGTGTGGCCTGTTGTGTAACAAATGTTGGAGCGGTTTGCGGACTTGATGCCTTTGGTGAGAAAAGTTTTGTTTTTCATCACTCCAACGTGACGACGTGGATGCGTTTAAATAAAAATAAAATAATTTAAAAAAAAACATCCAACATTTCACTGGCTTCATTTTCATTACAGAAGCTTGTCACTGCGTGAAATCTCTTATCTTTGCTTCGCCATGCCTCGTGTGTTTACATGGTCCTTTAAAATCATAAAAGAAATACCAGTGATCATTACACAGTGCTATCATCTGACAGAATGTGCAACCGGGGCATGGTTCTCTTAGTCATAACTGTTCAGGATGGCTTATCTTGGCATTGCATCGACGGAGGGGAAACGACGGCAGTAAGGCATTAACCAGCCGTGTAAATGAATAAATCACTGTGACATCTTTGGGCTGCGGCTCGTAAAGCCTGAAGGAGCAGCATCCACTTCAGACTTTGGTCAGAACCTGCTGGAGAGTACAGTTGAGGTGTGAGAAGAGTCACAAGGTTTCCTATCAGTCTGGTGACAGCTTTTACCCAGGTGAGTTTCTTCTACTCAAATCAGCTCCTTTTAATTCGCTTCAGTTTTCAGAACTTGCTGTCAAAGTACCCGGCTTGCTTCTTGTCTGAGAGAGTTGACGTTTTTTTTATTTGCAGTTTTAAAGGCCTGGGGTTGCCATGGCGTTACGCCGCTCGTCGTTTTGGGCGGCTGTGCTGCTCCTGGCCTCCGTGGATCTCTGGTGCTCCTCTTCCTCGCCTCCCTGTCCGGAATCCTGCGTTTGCCGAGAAGCTCTGCTGCTGAACTGCTCCTCGGCTGGCCTGTCCTCGGTACCGCAGCCCGTCCAGGACCCGATCGCCGAGCTCGACTTGTCTCATAACCTCCTCAGCTCTGTCACTTTTCACCAACCGCATCCCAACCTCAGGAACCTATGGCTGGGGAACAACAGCATCCCACACTTGTCTCTCTGCATAGAGAGAACCGTCCCGGCTCGACGGCTCGGGCGTCGCTCGGCGGCTGGGAGCAGGTCCAGGTGCCTGACCTGGGCCCCGGCCTTGCAGCTGCTATCAGCTGAGAGGAACCTGCTGGAGCGGCTGCCGAGGGGTGAGTAGGTGTTATGTAATCATACACCCAGCCACATCAAACATTACCAAGGTGGATAAAGGAGAAAAGCCTGCTGTCAGCAACACGCTAAAATTCCTTAAATCTGACCTTTAATCTCATCTGTGGAAGCAAAATCGTGTAATTGGGAATAATTGTTTTAGCGCACTGGCCAGTGGGAGTCACTGGTTTCCATAACAATCCATTCAAAACAGATTTCTTTGAAGATGTAAATAAATAAAGAGTAGCACTTTGCAGTCGCAGACTCTTCAAATCCAGCGTATAGGAGACAAATTATGTTTGAGAGTAGTAGAAAAAAAACGGAAACATTTTAGATTTACTGGGACTTCAACAGGAAGTGAGTGGTTTGGTCAGATGAGACTAAAGTTAATATTTTAGGAAACAAACACTGCAGCTGACAGCACGTTATTTCTATAATGACACAAGTCAAAATGCCAAATCTACACAGAAATGGTGAGTTGATATTAGTCCATTCACACAAATTCCATAAAAGGGATAAAATTACCGTGTTGAAAGCACGGCGTTCAGGGGCCACGATTCTTTTTCTCCATTTAAATCCATAGTAATGTCAATTCTTTTATATTTAATGGCTCAAGAATGAAAAAGAATTCATTTCAATTTCAAAATATGCAATGTTTTAATGATCAAAGTAGAAAGGAGCTACTTACTGTAGGGCTGAAATGGTAATTGGGTTTTTCTTAATAAAAGAAATTATCTCTGTTTATGAAAGAAAAAAAAAAGTTTTAGTCTTAGCAACAGAAGTGAGAAATATAATGGACGGGTATCTAAGTTAGTACTTGAGTGAAAAAAATCGCTGGATGTCTTTTCCTACTTACAATAATTTAAAAATGAAAACAAAACAAAAAAACATGGTCAGTTAAAAAAAACCACTTTGTGCCTCTCCTAATATTTTCTATTTAAGAAGACACAAATTTGTGATTCTTGAACGGTGGTCAAGAGATAAACAACATTTTTTTTCCAAATGGCCCCAGCTGCACTTTGAACACCCCGACCTTGAGAGATTGTGCAAAGAAGACTGAAAGATCCCTCTCTCTGTGTCATCGCACTGCGTCAGCACACTATGCATGTCACCTGAGGGGGGAAAAAAAATCCCAAGAATCCCTCTATACTCTGCAAGATTATAACATAGAAATACTATCCAGGATAAAAGAACTGAGGATTTTTTTTGGCGTACTGTGAGTTAATGTAGATACATTTCCAGGGCTGCTGCACACGGGATTGTGAAATATTGGTTGATGATTATAATATGATTATGAATAATAATAATAAAACAGGTCTCTTCTATTTATTTTAGGCCATAGCACACCCCCTGTTACTTTTCACAATGAGACTCATTTTTATTTGTTAAATATCATTTGAGAGCCAGTATACCCGACTCATTTTGATGCCAGGTATGTTGGCTCTTATCTGGGCTATACTCTCTGTAATGTGGTGCAAATCAAGGTTAAACTGACAAAACTGGACCATGAGCGACAAAATGATCAAAACTTATTTAGTTTCACCAGTAAATCAATGTTTAGGTGTACTAAATATTTTGGATGTTAAAATGGAGATGGATGCAGTGACCCAGTGAAGCCAGTTTGTTTAACCGAGTTCCCAGAAAGAAATGGTTTTTTTTTGTTGTATTTTTAGGAGTGGCAGGAGAAGAACATCCATCTGATAACTCCTACAGTCACACCTTTATTTGTCGTATGGAATGGAATTAGGAAATGTCTGAGTCACTAAACTTGGCTAAATTGATCAGGCTTTGGTTTAAAAAAAAAGTATAAATCTAAAAAAGGAGCTTACACTCCACAATCCAAATGTGTTCATAGTTTGTAGTTGTTCGGATTTGCCCTTCAATTCCACACATACACAAACCCTTTCTAGCTTTTATCTTGAGAACTTTGCACCATGCACAAATGAGTGAACCTCCCAAGATAATAACGCCACTCTTAAGAGTTTATATTGACATTCCACTGGCTTAAACAAGGTGTGTGTGAGCAAATGAAATATTTATGATTTCATTGTTTCACAGGCCTCCCTGTGCTCCCTGTGCTGAACATGTTTTTTTCCTTCCTTGAAAAAGTGTTTCTTTTGCTTTGTACCGTTTGAAGAGCTGCTTTGAGAGGCCTGAGGCCCAGTTTTGGTTAGGTGGAAGAAAAAGGATACATAGTATTCCATTGGAAGTATAAATATGAATGTGTTGCATTCATCTCTCTATCAGTTCTTCTACATCAATGCTTTCAAGAATTCAAATCTCTTGAGGTCTGCCTCTACCAGATTTGCACATGTAGGGACAGTAATCTTGTCTATTTTTCTTTGCTCCAACTCAGTCAGATTGGATGGAGAGCACCAGTTTTCAAGCTTTGGTTGGATTCTAAATTACATTTTCTGGACTTGAATATACATATCCAACACACAGCTCTGGTTGTTTGTCTATGGCCTACTTGAAGGTTAATCTCTGCCCCAGTCTTAAGTCTTTTCAAAGTTAATTTATTGCTTTATTTGTCCAGAGCAACTTCCATATACTTTTCAATGGGTTGGTCTGTATTAAAAACCGAAGTATATAATAGAGACTGGTGTGTGTGTGTGTGTATATATATATATATATATTTTTTTTTTGTTCCGCTTCAAAATTATGCACTACTTTGTGCTGATCTTGCGCATAAAATTCCAACATATGAATGTTTCCAGTTGTAATATGACTAAATGTACAAAATTTTAAAGATTTGACCTTAGAGCAGATCTTTGTTTCTTTTTGGAATCTGCTTCCTGATGATGCTGAATTCTAATCAAATCTCATTTCTTTTCTTCGAGGCCTGGATGCTGTTGAATCCTTACAGGTCCTGGAGCTGTCTTTCAACAGGATCTCAAGTCTTGAACCGGGAGTCCTTGGTGACCTTCATCGGCTGCAGGAGCTTCATTTACAGCATAACCTGATTACACATCTGGATCCACAGATGTTTCAGAATTTAGAGCAACTCAAGGTAAGCCTGGTTTTTGATGCCTATAATTCTCTGTACCAGCCAAAATGTTGACTTCTGTTAATTCAATATTTTTTAGAAAAGTGTTTCAGATTAGGATTTACTGTGCTAACTTTAATATAAGGCTAATTACCTCTACTTAATCCCATTCAATATTGTGTTCCTCTCAAAGGTTCTTGACATGAGGTTCAACATGTTGTCAACCATGCAGCAATTGACATATCTCACTTTGCGCAACATTGGAGCAGATGTTAAGCTGGATGGAAACAGGTGGCACTGTGACTGCAACATGCGTAGTATAAGAAGGCAGATGGCTTATGACAGCACCAGAGGCCTGCAGACCTGGAACATCATATGTTCTGAGCCTTCCACCATCTTGGGCAAAGACCTTCTGCAGCTGGATGAGGAGGAGCTAACATGCTTAAGCTCTGAAAACAACTTAGATCTTCACCGAGATGTGACAGTGTACAGTGGCGCCGAGATCCTGCTCTCCTGCTCAGCACAAGGTAACACATGACATATTCTATAAGCAAGAGTTAGTAACAAAGTCAATGAACTCTTATTGTTTTTATGCTGTTCTTTTAGAGTCAGAGTGGTGGACACGCGATGGTCGAGCATCTGTGAGCCAGCAAGAAGATCGTCTGCTCATCAGTGACTTTTCAGAGGGAGATACAGGATTGTATGTGTGTGTGTCTGAAGAAGACCACGTTCTGTCTGTTTTTAACCTCCAAATCAGTAAAATGAGAGGTCCAAGACAGGAAAGAAGCTTAACCGGGATCCGCAGTAATACAACCCCACAAAGTGGGTCCGTTGGAATCGCAGCTGGGGGCTTTACGCAGTCTGACATGGCTTTGGCAGTGTGTCTATCGATTATCCTCACATTTCTGTTGGCGTTCGTCCTCGGAGTCCTGGCGAGACCATGTATCGATAGGCTGTGGAGAAGGGTCAGCAAAAAGAAAGACTCCCCAGCGACTCATACCGTCACTTCTGCTCAACATTACGACAACAGGGCCTTTTCAAATGCTGAGGAACCAGAAGAGATAGGACCTCATAGGGAGAGAAGAGTCACTTTCAGCCACTTAGAGGTCACAGAGGAAAGCAATGTACAATATTATGATACTGTGGTGAGTGCCGATCAGCAGAGCATTAGAAGCGACGAGGTATTTGAGTATCAAGAAGTCGAGGTTGACTTACATAGGCGACCCAGGGAAAAGCAGAGTGATGACAGTAGCTCAGCTGAATTGGCTGCAGAGCGCCTGCGGAACATGAAATTTGAGCCTATTCCTGACCCAGATGAGCTTGAGGAGAGGAGAAGCCTTTCCTCATCCTCAGATTCTTCTCAAAGTGCATCAGAATCAGAGCAAACGACCAAAAAGCACACCATGCCCAAGTCTCTTCAGCTGGAAGAAGACTCATTTCAGACAAAAGCAGATTTATCAATAGCCACAAAAACAGAAACCCCACAAATATCCACAAAGGGAAAAAGTGAATATCCTGGATCCTCTCTTCTACATACAAATAAAGCGAACACCACAGACTCTGATATTTCTCAGGGTGAACCATTTGAATTCAGTGATGGTGCTCAAAGTTCCTCAGCCAAGAATGGCTATGATACAAAAAGTCCAGGAGATGAACCAGAGTATTCCTCTTCCGCTTCCTCTGATTCAAGTGACAGTGACAGTCAAAGGGAGCCAAAGCGAACTAAAATCAAACAAAAGACAAAAAAGAAGCAGAAGAAAGTAGCACAAAAATCAAAACCTGGAACAAGTTCATCATCTTCTTCCTACAGTGAGGGCAAAGTAAAAATGACATATGCTGATGGCAGAGGCAAAATCAACATTCAGCAGCTTCCCCTTCAAGAGTCCAAAACAAAAATTGATGATTCAGATGAACGTTGGCCTGCTGTAGATCTTCAGCACATTCCTCGTCTTAAAAGGCGTCTAGAGATCAAAGCTCGGTTGCCAAGTTCTGATTCATCTTCTAGTAGCGAGAGTGAGGATGAACCAAGAGGCCATGTGACAAAAAATACACAGGACGGCTTACTGATAGCAAGACCATCCACCAGTAGTGACAGTGATAATGAAACTACTCGCCTAGCAGTGAAGAAACCAGGAAGGTTGGATGTTGCACATTTGTCATTTCAAAAATCTTTTCCAAAAAGTAATGATCCAGCAGATTCAACTTCCTTTTCCAGCAGTGACACAGACGATCAAGAAAAAGATAATATGCTGAAACAGAGAAAAGAGAGTTTGTCAAAGATTCACACTAAAGTCTCTCCAACAGTCCCTCCTACACCAGACACAGATTCAAATTCATCTTCTAGTAGAGACAGCGACCATGACAAGAAAGACTATATAACACAACCGAAACAAAAGGACTTGCCAAAATCAGCATTTACAACTAAAGCACCAAGCCAGTGGCCTTCAATTGAACTTGGGAGAGTAGCAAGAATAAAAAGACGTCTGGATATCAAAGCACCAAAAGCAGATTCAGATTCATCACCGAGCAGTGACAGTGAGGATGAAGCCAGAGATCAACTGATGAAACAAAAGCAAGAGGAATTGCTGATGTCAAGGCTTCCCGGTAAAGTTTCTCCAACAGTGCATCGCAAACCAGAAAATAGATGGCCTGCACCTGAACTTGGGAAAACAACCCAAATCAAGAAAAAATTGGATATTAAAGCATCATTGACAGAGTCAGACTCATCTTCTAGCAGTGACAGTGACATTGAAAGAAAAGATCAAATGACATCAAAAAAGAAAATGGAGTTACATATCTCAAAAGTTCCAACTAAGGAAACTACAGTAACCCAAAAGCCAGCAAACCAGTGGCCTACCCTTGATTTTGGGAGAACAACAAAAATCAAAAAACGTCTGGATATCAAAGCGCCCACTGCAGAGTCCGAGTCATCATCTAGTAGTGACAGTGAGGATGAAACAGGAGGCCATGTGATGAAACAAAAGCAAGAGGAATTGCTAATGTCCAAGATTCCAAGTAAAGTTTATCCAACAGCGCATCCCAAACCAGAAAATCGTTGGTCTGCACCTGATCTTGGCGAAACAACCCAAATCAAGAAACCTGTGAATATCAAAGTATCATCAACAGATTCAGATTCATCTTCTAGTAGTGACAATGATAATGAAACAAAACATCAAATAACACAAAAGGAGCAAAATGAATTATATATTTCAAAACTCCCAACTAATGTAACTACAGTAACCCAAAAACCAGCAAACCAGTGGCCTTCTCTTGATTTTGGGAGAATGACACGAATAAAAAGGCGTCTGGATATCAAAGCACCGAAAGCATATTCAGAGTCATCATCCAGTAGTGACAGTGAGGATGAAACAAGAGGGAAAGTAATGAAACAAAAGCAAGAGGAATTGCTGATGTCCAAGGTTCCAAGTAAAGTTTATCCAACGGTGCATCCCAAACCAGAAAATCGTTGGTCAGCACCTGATCTTAGCAAAACAACCCAAATCAAGAAACCTGTGGATATCAAAGTATCATCAACAGATTCCGATTCATCTTCTAGTAGTGACAGTGACAGTGAAACAAAACATCAAATAACACAAAAGCAGCAAAATGAGTTATACATTTCAAAACTCCCAACTAATGTAACAACAGTAACCCAACAACCAGCAAACCAGTGGCCTTCTCTTGATTTTGGGAGAATGACACGAATAAAAAGGCGTCTGGATATCAAAGCACCAAAAGCATATTCAGAGTCATCATCAAGTAGTGACAGTGAGGATGAAACAAGAGGGCAAGTAATGAAACAAAAGCAAGAGGAATTGCTAATGTCCAAGGTTCCTAGTAAAGTTTATCCAACAGCGCATCCCAAACCAGAAAATCATTGGTCAGCACCTGATCTTGGCAAAACAACCCAAATCAAGAAACCTGTGGATATCAAAGTATCATCAACAGATTCCGATTCATCTTCTAGTAGTGACAGTGACAGTGAAACAAAACATCAAATAACACAAAAGCAGAAAAATGAGTTATACATTTCAAAACTCCCAACTAATATAACAAAAGTAACCCAAAAACCAGCAAACCAGTGGCCTATCATTGATTTTGAGAGAACTACAAAAATCAAAAGACGTCTGGATATCAAAGCACCCACTGCAGAGTCCGAGTCATCATCTAGTGACAGTGAGGATGAAACAAGAGGCCATGTGATGAAACAAAACCAGGAAGAACTGCTAATATCCAAAGTACCAAGTAAAGTTTATCCATCAGTACATCGCAAACCAGAAGATCGTTGGTCATCACCTGATCTTGGCAAAACAACCCAAATCAAGAATCCTATTGATATTGAAGCATCATCAACAGATTCAGATTCATCTTCTAGTGGTGACAGTGAAACAAAACATCAAATAACACAAAACCAGCAAAAGGAGTTATACATTTCAAAACTCCCAACTAATGTAACAACAGTAACCCAACAACCAGCAAACCAGTGGCCTACCCTTGATTTTGAGAGAACTACAAAAATCAAACGACGTCTGGATATCAAAGCACCCACTGCAGAGTCGGAGTCATCCTCTAGTGACAGTGAGGATGAAACAAGAGGCCATGTGATGAAACAAAACCAGGAAGAACTGCTAATATCCAAAGTACCAAGTAAAGTTTATCCATCAGTACATCGCAAACCAGAAGATCGTTGGTCAGCACCTGATCTTGGCAAAACAACCCAAATCAAGAAACCTATTGATATTGAAGCATCATCAACAGATTCAGATTCATCTTCCAGTAGTGACAGTGACAATGAAAGAAAAGATCAAATCACACAAAAGGACCAAGATGAGTTATACATTTCAAAACTTCCAACTAATGTAACTATGGTAACCCAAAAACCAGCAAACCAGTGGCCTACCCTTGATTTTGGGAGAACAACAAAAATCAAAAAACGTCTGGATATCAAAGCGCCCACTGCAGAGTCCGAGTCATCATCTAGTAGTGACGGTGAGGATGAAACAGGAGGCCATGTGATGAAACAAAAGCAAGAGGAATTGCTTATGTCCAAGGTTCCAAGTAAAGTTTATCCAACGGTCCATCCCAAACCAGAAAATCGTTGGTCTGCACCTGATCTTGGCAAAACAACCCAAATCAAGAAACCTGTGGATATCAAAGTATCATCAACAGATTCAGATTCATCTTCTAGTGGTGACAGTGACAATGAAAGAAAAGATCAAATCACACAAAAGAAGCAAATGGAGGTACATATCTCAAAACCTCTAAGTAATGTAACTACAGCAACTCAAAAGCCAGCAAACCAGTGGCCTTCCCTTGATTTTGGGAGAATATCACGACTTAAAAAACGCCTGGATATCAAAGCACCTACAGTGGATAAAGATTCATCATCTAGTAGTGATAGTCAGGATGAAACAAGAGGGCACGTAATGAAACAAAAGCAAGAGGAATTGGTGATGTCCAAGATTCCAAGTCAAGTTTATCCGACAGCGCATCCCAAACCAGAAAATCGTTGGTCTGCACCTGATCTTGGCAAAACAACCCAAATCAAGAAACCTGTGGATATCAAAGTATCATCAACAGATTCAGATTCATCTTCTAGTGGTGACAGTGACGATGAAACAAAACATCAAATAACACAAAAGCAGCAAGAGGAGTTCTACATTTCAAAACTCCCACCTAATGTAACTACAGTAACCCAAAAACCAGCAAACCAGTGGCCTTCTCTTGATTTTGGGAGAATGACACGAATAAAAAGGCGTCTGGATATCAAAGCACCCACCACAAATTCAGATTCATCTTCCAGTAGCGACAGTGAAGATGAAACAGGAGTGAAAAAACAAGAGCAGTTGCTGATTTCACAGCTTCCAGGTAAAGTTCCTCCACCAGTTCATCCAAAACCAGATAATCGTTGGTCTGTACCTGATCTTGGAAAAACAAAAGAATTCAAAAATCCTCCAGATACTAGGGCACAATCAGCAAACTTTGATTCATCTTCTAGTAGTGGCAGTGATAGTAAAAGAGACAAAATTACAAAACTGAAACCAGAGGATTTGCTGATATCAAAGCAGTCAGTACAAACAAGCCAAAAAGCAAGTCAAAAGCAAGGAAACCAATGGCCTTCCCTTGATCTTTGGAGAATTAGACAATTTAAAAGGCGTCTTGATATCAAAGCACCAGCAGCAGATTCAAATTCATCTTCTAGCAGTGACAACGATGATAAAACAAGTGGGCATGTGGTACAACAAAAACAAGAGGAACTTCAGATGACAACGTCTTCTTCTAAGATGCCAGCAAAGGTAAAATTTGAAAACCGTTGGCCTTCATCTGTTTTTGGCAAACCAGACATCAAGAGTCCTCTCAATATTAAGGTACCATCTCCAAGTTCTCACTCATCTTCTAGCAGTGAGGATGAGACAAGAGGCCACATAAAAACACAAAAGCAAGAAGAATCACTTATCTTAAAGAATCCAGCTGACATAACTCAATCATTAAGCTCTAACTCAGAAAATCAGTGGCCTTCCCTTAGTCTTAGCCAAATACCAAGTATTCAAAGACGTCTAGATATCAAAGCTGCTATACCTCGTGAATCTGCATCACAATCATCTAGTAGTGGAAGTGAGGATGAGAACAGAGACCAGAAAGCTAAAATCAGAAAAGACCAATCCTTTACATTAACACCCACAAACAAGTTCATAAGATTACATGTAGCTCCTGGGATAAACATTCCTTACAATCCAAAGACAGCCCACAACATCAAATTGGAAAAGTATACTGATATTTTAGGTAACCTGGAGGACATGCCAACAAATGACACCAGTAGAACAACACTTGAGGTAGACCCAGAGCTTCAGTCAAGATGGGCCACTATGAATCTTGGCGTCTCCCGCTTCCGAAAGCGTCTCGAAATCTCATCCCATGCAACAGAATCCGATCTGAACTCCCCACCAGACTCTCCTTTCTCCTCCGGCAGTGAAAGCGGTTCTGGGAGAAGACAAAGACTAAGGAGAAGAATTGTTGGGATCCAAGAAACACACAAAAGTTCGTCTCCAGGGCTGGAAACTTTTCAACTAAATGTGTCTCCAACTCCAAAGACTCCAGAAGACAAGTTCACTTTCTCAGATGTAGTTAAGCAGAGAATAAATAAAAATCACAGTGATAAAGATTCAACTAGTCCATCAAAGCAGAGCTCTAATTCTTCTTCTAGCAGTGACAGTGAGGATGAGACAAAAGTCCTCTCTGTTACTGACCTGAGTCGTGGTATTCCACGCATCAAGAGGCGTTTAGATATCAAGGCACCGTCTCCAGAGCCAAGTAATACCCCACCTTTTGACATTCAGAATGAAGACTTGACAGAGCACAATGCAGTGCAAAGCGCACAAACAACTATCGTTGGACCAGCAGATGAATCACTTATCACTTATAAGCAATCTATTTTCAATTCCTCATCACTACCAAGCAGTTCTTTCACACCGAATGGCAGTCGTCAACTAAATGTTATATCTAATCTTTCAAAAGACGTGTCAAATGACAAGGACATGTCTCTTGCCTCAAAGGCCACTGAAAGTACAAGCTTTGATGACATTATAAAGAGGAGACTGAGACTATCCAGATCCAAGACCGATGGTGAACTGATGGAGAAAATAAAATGGACTCGTGTTGGTCATCATTTGCCTGACCTTTCCAGCTCCAAATCAGAAGGTGTGGATGTAACTTCCAAATCTCTGCCGCCAGCTTCATTCACTGAGCCAACTTCTCCCTCAAACGATTCTGCCAGTAGTACAACTGCCTTTAGCATATTGCAGCTCAGCAAGAAGTCAGATGCAACACAGACACACAAATATTCATCACTTGGTCCTGAAGTCGCTCCCTCTCCTTCCGGTGAGGAAACCCTCCGTGTCCTTGGACACTCATCCCAAAGGACACCCGAGATGCAGAGGACTGCATTAGAGGGCAAGAGTGAGAGAAAAGGCCTGAGTGCCCTAAAAGCCATGTCACAAGAGAGGAGAAACTGGGAGTGGGATAAAGATACACATCTTGTATTTGATACACAAGATGGCAGCATCTCCAATCACAGCCAGTCTGGAAAAGACAAAGTCTTGTCTCAACAGTCTCAAATTCATTCTCCTTCTGCGAGTGAGTCGAAGAAAGACATGGATTTGTTGCTGTTGTACGGTGTTCCCCGCTACAAGAGACATGGCATTGGGGACTCATTGACAGAGGCTTCACTTCCTGATCTAGCTCCACCTCAGCAAGATGACTGAAAAGGGTAAAAGTGGGAATCTCCTTAATACAGAAAAGATCCTGCTGGTTGAAAAAGTAAAACGTATGAGCAGGTATGGAATCATCTGGCAGCCAATTGGGAGTTTTGTTTTTTAACGTACATTATTTTGAAGTGTTAATTTTTACAACCGTATAAGCTTTGAAATTACATGTCAATATTTGTGACTAGTAATTTTAGGAGCATCCTCAATTATGTTTAATTTTGGTTGTCACTTTTAAAAAAATCAGCACCTTCAAATCAAGTTCACTATGTGATCATTTAGAGTCCTACCTACATTAAAACCATTTCCTAAAGCTGAAATAGAGCCTGAGTATTTGTAAAAAGATGGACTGCAATAATGTCAGTTTTATTTATTTTTCCCCAAACATGCTATAAGGTCAGAGAATCAAGGCATCAGCCAGTAAGTTAATAAACCTTTTTATTTATGTATATAGACATTGGTTATAGTGAAAACAAACATATAGACACTCATTGTTTACATACATATTTACAGTTGGGACAAGGCTGTTCATCCTCCTGCATTTTCAGTGGAGAATACTAAAAGATTTATCTCTACACAGCATTTGGTAAGCAGTGAAACAGTTAAATTCAGTTTTTGCTAATGGTGGAGCTCCCCCACGGAATCGGATGTGTGTGATCTAACAACTGATTTTTATGTGCATCGTGACAACTGCAGGAAAAAAAAAAAGTATATATATTAAAAATATATATTGCATGAACTTCAAAATAAAATAAGAGTCTTCACACCGGTTGCAGCCGTCTTACTAGTCTCTACATAATGATGCATGGGATGGGGTAAATGCAGGAGGGAACTCCTGAGCCACCATGAGGTTACAGGTGTGTTCCAGGTCGTAATGGACACAATTGTGTGTATTTAATTTTTTTTTCATAGGAAAAATAAACTAACATGACTGTGTTTGTCAAATTAAACACAAAACACATGCACAAATAACTGTACAAAACAAAACATGTCTGAAAAATGTTTTCAAAAAATCTCATCCATTCACAAAAGGCTCTGTCGGAGCATGCATGCAAATAGTAAATCTTCTGACGGTGCAGCATCACATCACAGTCAAAGACAAAAAAGATTTTATACATGTGTTACAAGAACATTACACTAGGCGAACAGAACAGCATAGCATCATCACACACTTTCAAACGGTCAGTGTCCACATTGTTTTTTTTTTTTCGTGTACGCCCTACGGGTGGTACAAAGAAACGCTTTGAGCAGACCTACCTCGCTAGCCTAAAGGACGCCGCGTCCTCGGAGGGTCTCGGGTGTTCCACTGCCGCTGTAGTAACACTGTCAGCGTTGGGAGGAATGCTACTCGATAAAAAGGAGACCGGAAACTATCCGTGGACAGAGGAAGACGAACAAATGCCAAATACCAAGACAAAAAAAATGGACACCATCTGGCACTATGTAACACAGCCTAAACAGTCTGAAATCGTCCTGAAAGGTTACCTGACTACTTGTGTGTCACTGCCTGCATGTCCTGAATCAAAGTACAGTGTCTTCCAAAAAGTGTTAAGCACCCCTGATCCCCCCCCCACCACATTTTTTCAAGTTGCGAACACAAACATTGGTGCATTTTGATGGGGATGTTTTTTACATGACAAACCAACACAAAGCAGTGCACAATATTGAAGTGGAAGTAAAATGAAGTTTTGTTTTGGGGGGGTTTTAAATCCTAATTTGAGAGGTGTGGGTGGATCAGGTCCTATTTACTCTGGAAAAAACAGAAATCTTTATAAAGACTAAGGAACATAGCAGACAGGCCCCAGAGAAAGTCGTGAAGATGTTTAACCACTATGAAAACAAAGTGGTGTATGTGCACCACTATTGCATATTAAACTACACTGGAAGCACTTTGCTGTTCTCTAGTGGTCACCATAGCTCATTTACTAAATACCTACATTTATACATCTGGCACATGATGTATTCAAATTAATCTATTCAAATTTAAAATTGCTTGGAAAAAAAAAAAAAACTTCAAGTTGGGTATGAATGGCCAAAGGAAGTGCATTAAAGAAGTAATCAGAAGTGGCATTTACCATAAGATACAGTAAACTCTGGTCAGATGAGACCAAAATTGAACTTTCTAGCCAAGAGGAAAAAACCCTGTTACGGAAAACTGCATATTGCCCACTTCATCATGCCCACTGTCATTTGTGGTGGTGGCAGGATCATGCTGTGGTAATGATTTTTCAGAAATAGACTTCATAGGCAAACTACTAAATTAGCAAAACATAGCAAAAAAAACAAAAAAAAAAACTTGACATTGGACATTGAAATTAACAGAACTAGCAGACTTAAATAACCAAAACAGACCAAAATAAATTACACCTATAATTGCTGTGAAAAGTAGTTGTAAGCCGGACTAATTCAGGGGGGTTGAATACAAATGCATGGGTCTAATTTTCATTTTTTGTATGCATTCTTTTCCTTCCGCTTGACAACGAAGCACTACTTTGTGTTGGTCCATTACATCGAATCTCAACAAAATGTGTAGAAGTTTGCAACAAACTTTAGGGAGGAAAAAAAAAAAGTAAGAGGTGTGAATACTTTTGAAAGGCACCGTAGAGTCACATGTAGAAATGTTAGGGTTTGTTGGTATCTGTGCGGGACACACAATGCGACTTTCCATGTTTGAGGCACAGTAATACTCTTATCTACGCAGCGTAGAGACATAAACCATCGGTAGACCAATGAATGCAGAGCAGAGCACTGGTGGCTCACAGTTGCACTGTAGTAAGAGTTAGTAAGCAGCAATGCAGATTCGTTTGGTGTTATGAGGTCTGAAGTCTTTGCATGGGGCTAGCAGAACGTTATCAGCAAAACAGGAGGAGGGACAGAGGAGGAAAGAAAAAAATGGAGGGGAAGAACAAACTGGCTTTTTCTGATAGTAAACAGTGCAGGCATGAGAAACCTGCAGTCAACCCTTTGACACAGTGTGCTTTTAGGAGAACTACTATACTAAACAAACCCACAGACAGTAAGTAGTTAGTGCCACCTTTCCCAAGGAGCTCTGATCGAAGTTCATTGCACGGGTATTTTAATGTGTGTGTGTGTGCCTAGGGGTTTCCGAGTGATCCTGGTTCAGACTCGAACGCAACGCCTGAATGGGCGCCCCCCCCTCTTCCCTGCGCTGACCATTTTGTTTCCACTGTCAGCGTCTGACAGATACCATGTTACCCCAACACAGACAACAATATGAGACGTCACGGTGACAGACAGCAACGCCGCTCGGTGGGGTTCGGGAACAAGGGGTCCACCCACAATGCAACTTCCATAGGGAGCATAACTCTACAAGGACAGCGCTCCTCCAAACGGGGAGTTGGAGGGCAGCAAAACCCCCCACCAACCCACCCACAGCCCGAACCCCGTCTTTTAACCAGGAGGCACCAACTGTCACTGCCTTACCGATTTTGTTGGGTTTTGCTTATTGGTTGTTTATGCTCAAGAGTAGTTGTGGTCACAGTTAAATTTTTTTTTTTCTTCCATTCACCCTCTGATCCCTCATCTGCAGCTATGACATCTGTCTTTCCTTGTACCATTCCACAAATTCATCCAGCAAAACAGGCCCTGACAAAGAGAAGAGACACAGTCAGTATTACCGTAACAAATCAGCAGGATACCAGAGATGCACAGATCCAATATTAATATCTGTATCAGATCCAATATTGGGGGAAAAAAGTTTTTTGATTGGGTATCAGACAGATCTATTCAGTCTAATTCTATGATTTTGCTCTGAGTGATATCATGCTTTGTTTTTTGACATTATGTTCAGAATGCTTAATTCTCAGAACATTTTGAAAGACGGTGAGTAGCAGTTTATTTTCTTTTTTTATTGAACACTGGTAGTCAACCGATTGTTTTTAGTAATTTTACATTGTTTGTTAATTAAAGTTGTGTTGTTTTTACATGTTTGACCCAAGATTATGGCGCTATTGCCATATTTAAGCGCGCTATACTGGTGCAGAGTTATCAAATAATTCAGTACATTTATGACTGTTTTAAAAAAATTTATACACTTTAGGCTGTTTTCTGAATCAGATCGGTTTTGCTGATACTAAACCTCATATCGGTATCGGTATCAAGAGAAAAAAAAATGGATCGGCACATCTCTATGTGATCCATTTCCATTCAATCAGTTTTGGACTTACAGGCACCGTCTTCATCATAGTTACTAAGGTCCAGGTTGATTGTCCTGCTGAACTCTAAAACATTGCACCACTGGTCTTTGTTGATGACTTTGTACTTGGATTGCTAAGGAACAAAAGAAAAACAGTGATTCTCAGTTCTGTGTGGCTACATATGCATTATTGATATGCTCACCTCTAAAAACTGATTAAACACGGGAAACAGGGGCCATGTTTTCCCCAGGAGAAGCCCCAGCATGCACTTTGCTGTGTTCAAGTCCAGACTCCTCTGATCTTTTTCCTGTTCAATGAAAAAGAACACCAAAAAATACTCATGTTAAAATTCAGGCAAAAATGACATGAAACCTTTTCATTTTTTCCCTTTTCTTGTTCTTCCTTAGAATTTTCTGCGACACACCAAAACAAAGCTGCACAGTCTAACACTGAGCTGGTTCTCAGTTCAGTATTAAGACTTTCCTGTTGAACTGACTCTGCCTGGTCACACTTTTTTTTTCTCCAAAATATTCAAAACAAAATGCAGCTTGGAAAACCAAAACACTTTGCCACAGTGCTACCTGACACGCTATTGGCTGGGGTTTGAATCCACGAGTCAATAAACTGGCCGTTTATTGAGTAAATCACACTGTGATATAATCCATTTACTAAATAAGAAACCTCTCAAAACAAATGGCAGCGTTGTGCAACCATTTCTCACGTGGAGCTAAAACCTCTCCCTCTTTCTCGACTTACCCGAGCAAAATCAAAGGCGTATCTGTAGATGAGCTTAAAACTGGTGCTGTCGCTCAGGACAGATCTCAGGTAGTCGAGGGAATTCCTCAGTCTCTCAGTGGAATCGCACCTTAAAACACAGTAGAAGTACCTCAGAGAGGTTCAATACTTAAAAGCAGCTCTACTGAATTTAACAGCATTTGAATAGAAAGAGATGAAAACACTGTGGCTGGCTTACTGCAGTGAGCCCATGCCTCTTAGCCACTCCTGAAGAGTGAAGTACCCCATACTCTGAGCATCCAGCTTCCAAGCCAGAACCAGCATCACCACCTGGGAATAAAATGTAAAATTACAGTCGCATAAATAGTTAAACAGGAGCGATTCCTGTGGCAGGCTGTTACTGGGCCTCGATGACCGGCTCAACAGAAACTCACAGTGCAGGCTGGGAGTTTCAAGGGGATAATCTGGGAGAACCAGAGATAACGCCGAGAAGAGCAAAGTGGTTCAACAGAAGCGTAAAGCTTAAGACTTAACCAAGCAACAATGGAAAAAAAAAAATTAAAATCTGCTTACATTCTCTGGCTCTACTCCAATGTCCTCGCAGAACTTCTCTATGCCCTCTGGACCCACGACGTCGTCACAACCTGGTTTAGATAAATGAGCGGAGTCAGCTCAGTTTCTAGAGCTGTGAACGCACAGCAGTGATGGACGGATGAAGGCAACTCAATCCAACGCATGTGGAAGGTACTTGCCTGCATACTCATAGAACCACTCCAAACATCTTTTACTGGAAAACGTCTCCTCTTCCCGGATCTGCGACGTCTCGTGTTTTCTGAAAATGCTGCAATTGAGGAGACAGTCAGCAGATTCATACAACACAGTACAGCATGTGAACGTGATCCTGTGGTTTGAGATATTCTTTATGAAATCCCTACTGGTAAAACTGTAGAAATGGCCATCTTTATGCCCATTTCTACTTTATAAATCAGAAAAATCAGGTTCTTAGCAACATCATCTCCCATATTTTGTAACAATGCAGAGAAAAAACTTCCAACACATTTCATTTGGAATTTGTGTGATAGACCAAATGAGCAATTACAGGGTTTCTGTAGGTTTCAGCCATTCAAATTTAAGATGTTTTATGACCTTGCGGAGGCCATGCTAGAATATCCTAGTATGCGAGCTAATCTACAACTATGCCCTTCATAGCTTAGTAGTAAGCTATCTAAGAAGCCTACACACAGCCATAGTGTGTGTAGACTCTCTTAGAGTGAAAGGTTAACTAGCAAGGGTATATTAGCAGCTAGTCACTGGTAGCCTTAACCACTTTGAGCCACTGAACCTAATGAAAAAGTCCATCCTGTCTACCTTCCAGCAGATGTGGATCAGCAAGCAGGAGAATGATGAGTCTGGCCCCAGCATCATCCACAGAAAGTGCTTCTAAAAAGACTTTCGGTTCTAAGCCCTCCACTTTCCCACAAAACACTGCTCCAGCCCAAACAGGTTCTGCATACCGGCACCAACACACTGTGCCATTCTGTCATCGCTCTGGCTATGATACTATGGTCCTTGATGGGGTGACGCTACAGGAAGTAAAGAGCATCCCTGGCGGTGTGAATGTGTGAAACATGTCAGTTGTGTACGTCATTCCAGATGTCTTTGTTCATAAACTTATTTGCCTCTATGACGGTTTATTCTGTTGGGCTTAATGTGTAAATTATGTAATCTGAACATAACTTACAACATTGTAAATTATGCATGCTGTGGTGGCGCATGAGTTAAGCACAACCCACATAAGGAGGCCTTACTCCTCAACGCGGCTGTCGAAAGGTTCAATTCCCGGCCTGGTGACCTTCACCGTATGCCTTCCTGACTCTCTCATTACCCACTTTCCAGTCAATTCACTGTAAAATAAAGGTCATTAGAGCCAATAAAGCCTTTTAAAAAATTCTTAATGTGTCATAAGCATTTCCCTGACAGAAAAGTCCCAGGAAAAAATGAAAAACGCATAAAAACTAAAATATACGGGATAAAATAGTCCTGCCGCAACAAAATTTAAGGATTGTTTTTACTATACTTAAGGCATTTGAATTTATTTAAATGACTGTATAACATTCACCTTAGATTCATAAATCTAAGACTTTTTAAGGGTGCATGGACACTTTGAATTAAGAGTGAATGTAATCAAAGAATAGCCATAGTAACTGCAGTCGCTGAAGGGATTGATAGCACCAGCTGAAACAGTCTGGACTCAGTTATTAGTGATCTACAAGTCTCAATGAAAGACTTGTGATCATGTTAAAAGAAAGCCATAGCAAGTGTTGTTCCCAGTTCGTCACATGCTAAGCAGCGGAGACAGCAAACGTGACAGAACGCCGTCAGGACAGAGGAGGCCACATTTTCGGCCTACAAACAAAACAGTTTGTGTGGAATACAGCGGCATGATCGCCAGGAAAATATTTAATTGATTGCCATAATCATGTCAATTCTAATTAACTAGAATTTTTGAGGCCTTCCTTTCCCCGTTGCACATTACTTTCCATTTGTTGGAGCATCTCAGCCAAAGGGGCAGAACCCCAACTAGATCTTGAACAAAGGAATCTCCCACCTGTCTTGGCGACTTTTCTTAGCTGACAGGTCGTCTCCGGCAGAAGGTCTCCTCTTTTTTCTCGGCGGCATGGCTCTGGAGCAGCAAGCTGGGAAGGAAACAGAATTATTATCAGCAATGCTGCAGTCATAGGACAAACTCGACCACTGGCTGCCCTAATAACGCCTCGTAAAGACGCGTAAAAAGCCTTAAAACCAAATGTGTGCTTTACCGTCAGCAGCCCCTAACCCTAATTGGAAAACACTGAACCGGTGGAGAAAAAAAAATCCCTCATTGGGACAGCACTGTTGCAACAAAAATCACTGATGTGTCTTCTTATTGGTGCTCCCAAGAAAAAGCTCATTACTATCCTACCATCACAAACGTAAACTTCAATTAGAAATGAGTGCTGGAGCTTTCCTTACTAATACACCAAACTACATCTAGACTCTGGAGCTTGCAAGATGTTATGGAACAAGCTACTATTATTTAGCTAAAGCCATGCAACAGCTTAGATGCGACACCTTCGTGTGGACATGAAAGTGTTTGCATATTTTTGCGCAGGACTTCTTAATCTGCGGCGAACCCTCCGAGGTGGGTGTATGCGATAAAGCGCTCTTCCAAAACCTCCAGCCTTATCAGAGCGGATGACAGCCTGAATCTTCCGAGAGGAAATGCGTTGGGCTCTGAAGGGAAACTGAAAATAGGTCACTGTGTTTCAGATTATGCCGTGTGGGTTTTTACCTGACGGGTGGCTGTCCTGTCCAACGTCCTCGGTCAGATTCTGACAAAAAGACAAAAGATCTCCATGACACGTGGGGATTCAAATAATAACAATAATACAAAAAAAGATGACAGCAGATATTTACCAGCCGGTGTAAGGTGTGATGGATCTTGTGGATACTGGCCAGTGTAGTCAGATGGGAATTCAGCTGAAAATCTAGGTCCACAAGAGAACAGACGTCAAACATATGGATATCCCTCTGCGGCTTAGACGTCCGTAACCGTGCAGGGGTGTAAAGTTGAGTGACATCATCGCAGGCCAAACTAACTCCATCACCGTGATTTTTGGGCCTTTTTTTTTTTTGCTCAGTAACCAACAGATCACGCGGACTGGTCTCCGAATCAAGTCCTAGAAAACTGCAGAGGCTCTCTCTCCCTCAACTCGGAACGCATTCGGCCATTTCAGCGACCCTGTCACAAAAACATAAGCGCAGACGAGTTCTGGTTGAAAGCCGGTCATCAAGCGGGGACTTACCTGTGGAGGCCAAACTTTGGACAGACGAGCCAACGCGCAGGGACGAACGGAAAGCACGAGCCGCATACCTAAAATAGCAGTCCAGACAAGCAACTTGCCCAGAGTTTACAAAGTATCCAGAGAGCCTCGGCCGTGTGGGTGTTGTAGTTCTTCTTCCTGGAGGAGGCCATTAAGGGTTGCGGCGCCGCTCGGGATGCGGAACTACAACTCCCAGGCCTTTCCCGAAACAACTACTACTTCTTCTTCTTCTCAGAGCCCGTCTACCCCCCAACATTTTTCTCCCCAGACTCTGAATACGCTTTACAATAATTAACATAAAAATAATTTTAAAAAATGTATCGCTACACGTCGAGAGGCAGGAGAGCACTGCGCAGACGTTTTGCGGCAGCTGATGCGGGTGACGCAAGGAGCGAACAGCGGCGCCGCAGCAGGCAAAAGCAAAGATGTTTTAGGCAACTGCGTCACAATTTTCATTCTCCCCAACAGTCCGCAGCTGGACAGAAAATCGGCCAATTAACGCCGACATCACGGTCGGAGTCAAGTCGGAGCCGAAACGAGCCCGGCTGGGGGGGAAACCGGGCGCCACGAATAACGACTGCGAAAAACAACACCGCAACTCACCGATAAGCATCGAAAACAATCTGAACTCCAGACAACGTCGGCGGGATTTGACCGAGCGCTGAACGCTCGCCACGAAAAAACCCGACCGCGGACGACCGTAGCGCGTCTCCCCGAGCCTCCTGCGGAGTTACAGGAGGCGTCCGTCCTTTGTTGTCGCCCCAGACAGCGCTGCCAAATACAAAGAGAGCAGCAAATAACACGGGATTCATCAAACCTCACGGAGCCACGGGACACAAGCGGATGTGGGAGCCCCGCGCGTCCGCTTCCTTCTCTCTGACACGCGCCTACCGAGCCGACAAACGCCGCGAATTATCACCGAAAAGCCTCTGAATCGTTTCTACTTACTTGCCGCATCAGAGTGCATTTTTATGAAACATACAACTGTCTGTGGGAAGTCCGTAGACCGGCCAATAGGCGGGCCTTGCCAGCGTAAGTGACGCCCGCACACAGTGGGTCCGTTCTCTTACAGTCGGCCGGCGCATGACCTGGACAAACCGGTGTGAGAGGAGATACCCTTTTGAATAAAGCCAACACTGGGTTTTGAGCTTTCTCAAAAGTTGGAACTCGGATCCGATAATGCCACCACTCACCCTAGTAGAGCATGGCTCCAGCTGCAAGTCGGAAATGATGGAACAAGCACAATCAATATTTATTATTGATCACATTCGTGCAGCATGTTCACATGAGGTACGAACCTCCAGAACTGCAAATAAATGATTGGCATCTGAAAGTTTGTTTGTGTTTCAAATGCAATCCATGTTGGATATTGAAAATTATGGGGCACTCGGGCGGTTTGTAATCAGAAGTCAGATTTTTTTTCCCTTTTCCGATTTTTAAATAACCCAGAAAACAACACCCAAAAGATGTCATCCTGATCCCGACACGGAAAGTCAGAGGTCACTGAATAATCCCAGTATGGCTTCCACAAATGTCACTTCTGACAGCTTGCATCTGATTATGTCTCATGTTTGCTGGTCACATGCTTGGAGTGGGTGCATAAAGAGGCTATCCAGGATAAGCCCTGAGGCTCTGACTGATGATTCCTTTCAAAAGGTGAACAGATATCGCCGCTTGTCTCGCCGGTTTGCAAATGGTGCACACCCAGTGACTGATAGTCAGCTCTGTAGGCTCCGCCCCCATGCCTGATAGCCATTGGTTGCTGTAAGTGACACTTCAAAAAAAATACACCTTGACTCCTCCCTCAGACAAACTGGATTGGTCGGAGGTCGGCGACCGGGGCCGTACTATGAGCGTGTCAATCAACAAACCATCCTCGTGCAAACCTAAAAACCAGCCCACGATGAGACGTGATTGGTTGCTCGAATATTAATTGACTTCACCAATAACGACACAGCAGGAGGGTGGAAAAAAAAAGTGGCGGTACGGACAGTGACGTTTGGTTGTATTGTAAAACTGAACCCACTTCATCACAGACGCCAAACATCGAGACTTCTGGTTTATATACTGTGTTCAAATTGTTCACGATTATTTTGATTTCGCTGCATTTTTGTTGTTATGCAGAACCTGATATTGTCTCGCATAATTCATGTTGTTATAGGTTAACCGTGTAAATTTTCAACTGCAGACATTTAAGTTTAAAATTGGTCTTGTGTCCCACATTTTTGGGAAAAAGATATATCACATAAAGTGAATCTCCAGTTTTGACAGCACTAGGAGTAGAGATTTGTATTTTCCTTTTCTACTTCAGAGGAAAATGCTACTTTTATCCAAGTGCAGTTTGGTAACAACAAAAAAGGACAATGTGAACATGATCAATAGTTGAGTTTTGTACATCTTCATTCTTTTTTTATTTTATTTTATTTATTTATTTTTTCATCATCAAAAGGCTCCTCCACCGGACCACCAAGTGCATCATTGAACAATCTGGATCCTTTCTGAAACACGGATAACAGTCAGTAGGTTTTCTGTACGACAATTTGTTTTCTTGAACTTAGGTTAACATAATGATTAGGTGGTGATTGTAAGTCAAAAGTTTTCCATGTGTTTATCTCTCAGTCTGTCTGGATATCAAAGTAAAAAAAAGAAAAGAAAAAAAAGGTGTGTTGCGGGAATCATAGGCCAAGTTCAAACGAAGGTGCAGCTATCTGAATGTGTAGTTAGATAGGTGTGTAGGTTGGAACGGCAGCACCGTGGCTTGTGCGATCCTGTTGCAAGACTAAATGTTATAGTAACTTGGACCACCAGCCATGCCCCTTCATCTTTTCACGTTGTAAACATGGTTCCTCTTGCAGTAGGGAAAACGAAAACCATCAATATACTCGGACTGGGCAAATGTACAAATGCACGCCACACTTTTAAGTTTTTGATTTGTAAAGATCTTTAAAAATCATGTCCGCTCGTCATCCTTTTCCTCCCCCTTCCATGTACTTTGCATCCCTTCACAGCGTCCTTTTTGGAAAGTTTGATTTATGTGGCGATTTGAGAATATTTTCATATTAGGGGGGAAAAAAACAACAACTCACATTTTAAGGAACCATCGTAACGTATGGTATATTCAACATTATATGGTATATTCATCAATGTTGAATATACCATTTTAAAATTATTAATAATAAAGCAAAAAGTGATGACTTTTGCATATGCTCTCTGATTATTTGTGGACTAAACATCTATTATAAGATAAACCCAGGCTTTGTTTTGTACTTTTAGTCTCATATTACAAATGACAGCTCTACAGGTGTAGTGCTATTATGCAATTTCCCTGATTAAAGTGATTTGTGCAGTAATTTCTTTCCGTCACAATGAATTACCTGTACATGTGCAGTGTGTCGTCAGTACTTTTTTAAGAGGGGGTGGAATTTGAAAGCCAGTCCAGGGAGGAGCCTTCCCTCTTAGCCTTCCGCTTCCAGGTAAATCTGGAAGCGGAAGAACGGCAGTGAAGAGGTCCTGTGGCACAGCTGGTAGTACGACGAGTGAAACCTCCTCCATCATGAGTTCTGGTAGTGGAGAAACTACAACAGTGAAGACCGGGGAGGCTGCTGCTGCTGCTCCTGATTCAGCACCAGCCAAACAGGACTGGAAGGTGAGAGATAATCACAAATGTGACTCCTATTGGCGGAGGCAGCTGTGTGTTCACCTGACGCCTAACCCGTCCCGCGTGTGTCTCACAGTGTCCCCTGGGTGACGCTCATGTCCACCGGGAAGATGTGAGGAAGGTGTGGAAAGAGTGCCAAGAGGAAAGCTTCTGGTACCGAGGTAACCTCCTTGAGAGACGAGGAACACCCCACGATGTTTCTGAAAATGAGAAATTCTCGCATCTTTAAAATTGTTTAAAAAAAAAACAACAAAAAAACACACTTCAACATGTTCTTCCATGTGTAGAAGAAGTCACTCATTCACTGAAATGTGTGTTTACATTCCTCTGTGGGTTTCAGAGTGAGGATCCCAATCCATGAAAACTAAACAAAAGCAGAAATAGCTTCCACCTGTGAACATTTTTGTTTTGAAAGTACCTAAGTAACCCAGCCTGCATTGTCTTTGTTTCTGGCTGCGACTAGGAGTGTCCCAAGATGTCCATGACGACGTAGATTGAACCAATTTAAAAAGAAAAAGAAAAAAAGAAAAGAAAAAAAATCAAGCATGATTCCACAAGAGCGACAAAGCAAACAAATGATTTGTCAAAGTGACATCTGAATGAAAGCAACTGTAATGTATCAAAAGACAAGAGCACCAAAGAGCACCATCAGCCATGCAGCAGCTTCTCCTGTTCCCTCGCCATGAACTTATGTAAACATGAACCGACAACAATCAACATTTCCTCTATTTGTCCCTTTGCCCTTCATATAATCAGCCATAGTTTTACCACCACCCCAGAGGTCAAGGGTTGGAAACGGGTGAAAGGCTATTGATTTACGGCAAGAAGGAAAAAACTGGATCTCGCAACTTGCTTTTGAGAACGTCCGTGTCATGACGAACAGTCTGACGTTTTACTGCTTTCAGGAATTAAGAGTGGAACGTCATTTATGTTTTAATGCAAATATTTATTCCCATGTATTAGAGATACACTTGTCAGGTTTTTCATTTTTTGTTGCTGTTTTTTTTTTGTGGCTAATTCTGATTTATTTGATATATTTTAAAATTTCTGTTGCAGAGATTGTTGCATACATGTGCTGCAGGCTTCTGGACAGCTTCGAATTCCTTGGGAATTTAAAGAATTGCAAATTCATACGTTAAAGTATGTGTATCTAATCATCATTTGATTTTCAGTAAACTAAAAAAAAAAAAAACACCAAAAAAAATGCGCCTGATGATGGTTGAAGCATTTGCTAATAAAAAAAAAATGGTGGGAAATTTTGGTTTTTTGGGTGATAAACAAGAACCTGCTGATCACCAGTCAGATTTAGTCACGGAAAAATCATCCGATTCTGATCTCTGTCATTTATCGGTCATTGTATTCATTTTATTGGCATATCATTTATCCAATTTCCTTCTTTTTTTTTTTTTTCAGCTCTGCCACTGTCTGTGGGCAGCATGGCTGTCACTGGCGGTCTCATCTACAATGGTGAACACTCCATTATTTCTCAAAAAACACCACAAACAATGTATTTTTCTGTTGGATTTCATTGAAGCTAATCTTTTTATTCCCATGCAGGTGTTTGGAAATCGTCAGCAAGGTTTGGCCCTTTCCCCAAACTAGCAGGTCTGCTCTATTTTATTTCCGCATGAGGGGATTCTGTGAGTTATGATGATGACATTAAGTAAATGGTGAGTTTTACGTGTTTCCTTTTTAGTTGCGGGGCTCCTCGGGTTCACAGTGGGAAAAGCTTCGTATGTTGGAACTTGTCGAAGCAAGTTCCAGGAGCTCGGTATTAAAGACGGCCCGGGAACCGGGCCCTGGTCCAGAAGAGGTCCGCCCGGTCCAGGACACAGGTGGGCACAGCGGTGGCTTTTCAATGTTTAACCGTCTCATTGTTTTCAATATCTTACAGAGTTATTTGTCACACTTTGCATGTACGTATACATCTACATCCAAATTCTCCTTTTTCTGTTTTCACAAAAAGAACGAAAGAGTTCAGAAATGTCAAGCTGTATTTTGCTGAACAGTCCGGATCAGGACTGACCAGTCCAGTCACTTTGGATTTTGAACTAAGGACAATCAAAGAATCTTGAAACATATAATCTAAAAAGAACTGAAATAGTTCTTAAGTATGGGACAAACCTTTGGGTCATCTGTTCAATCAGTCACCTGCATAACACAGAAAGGAACACAATCATTATTAACTAAACATAAAGAACAGCATTATCAGTACTTATAATTTTCCTATCTCAACAGACGTTGCCATCATGAGTGTGACGAATGCAAGAAAAAACCTCAAGCTGTGCCAGCAGAGCAAGCCTAAAGTTAAACGTGCACAACGCTAAGCTCAACGAAATGAGTTTAGCGTTCTTACAAAAATGAGAGTAAGAACAAACACTTTCAGCAACTTTTAGAATTTGTTTTCTTTTCAATCCTTACCTTCATTCATTTTCCATGTTGTGCTTTTGTTTTCTTTGCATTTTCAGGCCCAGCATCACCATGGAAGGAAGCAGCTGTGTTCATTTACCTGTTGCAGCATGTCTGGATATCGAATGTGAATGTCCTCCGTGGAAGCTTTCTAGTGTCCACTAGTGTGTCTTTTTTTTTTTTTTTTTTTTTTTTTTGGTTTGTTTGGATTTTTCTCCATAAAACCCACTAGAGGGCGCAAGAAGACTTTCAATAGAAATGCAAATGTTTGCTTTATCTGAGTAAATGCAACCTTGTAAGCAAAGAGTGCAAAGTCTCTTTTGTAGGTTTAATTATTATGACATTATCCTGTTCCAAACAAACAGGAAACTTCCTAGGATATAATCTGAACAGGTAACCTATGCCACCCAACGTTTTTGGTTTTACCTGCTGATCAAATGATAAAAACTTTGCCATTTTCATGTATGTACACTGAGGAGAAATGTGTCATTTTGCTGTGTTGATTCATCCTCCTATTGCAACATTACACACTTATGACTTTATTTACTCTGTAGCAGAAGACAAGGTGTGATTCTTTCCTTATAAGTGCCTCACATCTGACGAGGATCTCTCCTCCACAGCCAAGTAGGCTTATGTTTGGAGTATTTTTTTTTCATTAATAATAATTCATCGTGAATGATGAGTTGCAAAATGTATTTTAGTAGTTTGATGATATACAATATCTATAACTTATTCAAGGCCCTTCAGATCAAAGTCCTATTTATGACAACGGTCTAAAAAATTCTGTCCCAACTTTTGGTTATGATTTGAATTTCCAATCAAAGAAAAACTGATTATTTTTTTTTATCCATACACTATTGACTAATGGACCACAAACCGCAATGAATCGCCTCCGAACCAGGAAATAAAATATATGCAGAGTGGAAGATAAAAGCAGCAGAACTGCCTTATGAAAGATTCTTAAAACGTATAGGTCATTCCTTCTGTTTCTGAGTTGTGGTTAATGCTTGGCAGCAGTTACACAGAGACGACTGTTAAATATCAAAAATTGTGCTTCATAATGAATGTAACAAAAACACCGAATTTTTATCCAGCTCACAAAAACATGACAGTAAGTCAGATTAGAAGAAAAATGGGTTTGCAAGTGGTTGCTTGAATGTATTTAGTTAAGTGAAAAATAAATATTGTGCTTAAATTATGTCTGCAAATATTTTTTAAAGACTTTTTAACTTGACAATTTTAAAACAGAGATCCATCAAAATAAATGTAAATGACTCTTTTCAGGTTTTTGTTAATGACTAAAAAAAAGATTTTGACGGTGAAATATATATTCCCATTAAAGGTGAATGTTTATTATTATTATTATTATTGTTGTTGTTGTTGTTGTTGTTATTATTATGTTGCTATTACAGTATTACAGAACTATTTATGAACTTGTTTGTACCACTGCAACCACAAATCACAACTTGTATTTTTTTTAAAGTTTATTTTAATTTAATTGCATTTACAAAACATGTCAAATTTATTTAACTTATGTTCACATTTTTAGATATCAATTAAATCATAATTTTACCACCAGAGACGCTTTAAAAAATAAGAAATTTGCACACTTAGAGAAAATCTTAGGCCACTTGTCAGGATTTTTACGTCTCATTCACCCATGTTAATTGTAGTTTGTTTGAGCTCCCCGCCCATCGTAGCACATACCGGTGTACTCCGGAAACCAAAACAAATGTACAACTCTGCCAATGTCGTCCTCCGAAAGACGTCATCCAATCAACAAGTAATCAGCTTAACGTTGGAAAGTAACTTATCCAATCAGAAAACTGTGCTACATGTAGGCGTATGTTTTACACCCAATCACAATCTGGAAGGAGGAGCCAAAAGGCCTGCCGTTGACTCTGACAGAAGACCTCCACCGACTCACAAACAGACTGCGAAAAAGAGAGAGAAAAAATCACACCACTACGCAAATCCTTCCAATGGAGGAGGGCCAGGACGTTCAAGCTCGCTCGGCAAATGAAAAGAACGTCTGCAAGCTAGCGACCTAGCTCAACTAAAAGGAACAAGAAGCAAAAGTTGTAAGTAACGTCAACATTCCAAATACCGCTGAAATTAAGAAAAAAAGAGTTTTCTGCCAAACGCAGCTGGCGTTGACCTGAGTTATTAACTTTGTTGGGATTAACGTTAGCCTTTCGAAATGGGCTGCCGTCGCATGCTAAAGAAGGAGTTTGGCTGTTCTGCTAGTGTTTGAGTTAATCGCCTTCCTTCTTTGCGAGTTAAATGGTAAACACGGCTCACGGACGTGCTGTCATTGCTTGTCTCGTTTCCTGGCGGCGAGATTAGCCCCTTACATTGTGTGTGTTGTTGGCTTGCGGAACGTTATTTCAGCCTTTACAACTGGCTGGTTGAGCTAAGGCAAGTTGCTGGTGCTAGTTAGCTCCTCGCTCAACACTAGCAGTTCCCTCTGTAGAGTGAGAACGCTAGGCTAAGATGCTAACTAAAGCTTACTGTGAATCCTATTCGCCTTGTTTTGTTTTTAAACGAATGTTAGCTTGTTGTTGTGTGCGGTGTTAGTGTTTGCAATGAAGCAAAAAATGATGACCTAACCGGCTAAGGAAGTTCACCCGCAGCAGTCAAAACAACCAAGCAGATTTACGCCTGTTTATGTTTGCAGAAATCTTTTGAAAGCTACAACATAACCGAGTTGTACATGACAACAGACGACAACAAATATTGTGTTAGTCTGGGGTAACTTTAAGAAATAAAACAACTACGTTTAAATGCAAGAGACTGTGACATGTCTGAGCACGGTGACTCTTATGCAGTAGCATAACATTAGGCGAACTTTCAGCTCTGTATCTGACGCTACTCGGATAAAAAAGCATTTGTTCAGCGTCTCTTGGATACAGACAGAAAGGAATCTGGTCAGTCTGCTGTGTGTGGGGGGCAGAAGGGCAGCTATGTAAGAGGAAGGCGCCTTGACAGATGAAATACCGGTTTGTCTGACTCCCACGACTATATTAACACAGATGATGCTCTTAAATTTTGTTCTTTCTCTCTCTTCAATTAGGTTTTGTGACAAATATGTAGAGTACCAAGTATTCATCCCCCTTTTGCTTTTTTTTGCCCCACATTTGGCGATTTTGTTGTTTAATTGCATGGAAAGAGATTGATTTTTTTTAACATCTTTTTCAAAAACATTAACATTAATGAACAAGCAGCATCACAGAGCAGGCAGACAGGTCAGGGATTAAATTGACGATTTAAGGCAAGTTTGGGTCAGGTTCTAAAACAATGTTAACCTGTTTTCTGAAAATGGGAAGTGTTGGAAAAAGTGAAGAGGAGTGACATTAAATGCAGGAAGCAAACCTGTTTAGATGCTGTGAAAGACTTTAGACTTGGGTGAAGGTTCACGATATTGGAGGCCAATGACCCTAAACACGCTGTCGGATCTACAATATAAAGATTGCAATTAAAGCATATTCACATGTTGGACTATCTCAGTCAAAGTCCAGATATAAATCCGATTGATAAATTTGAGACAAGACTCGAAAAGAGTTCAGAGACGCTTCCCCGTCCAATCAGATTCACGTCGAACTATTTTGCAGAGATGAACGGGACAAAACGTAAGTCCTCTGGATGCACGAAACCGTCAGAGACGTCGCCCAAAAGACTCACAGTTCCGACTGCAACAAAAGTATTGAATAAAAAGTATTGACTCAGCATTTGTGAGTAACGCACACAAAAAAACCCAACATTTATATTTCTCCCTCTACTTGAGGACAAAGTGATACTCCTCTTTGTGTTGGAGTATCGGTAATAACTACAGCTAAAATAGATTAAAGTTTCTAACTGTAACATGGCAAAATGTGCAGTGCTGAGCCTTCTTTCAGGATGACAGAAAGGAATCCTCTGTCGAGTGAAATCGGTAGGCTAAGATGCTAAACGGAGCTGGCGTTGACCTGAATTACTAACTTTGTTGAGATTAACATTGTTGTTGGTTAACAACATTTTCTAGATGAGGTTTTGCAGTGCAGTGCCGACACTGACCTGCAAGGCTTTGCTGAACCCCTCACTCCAGCAACAAAAAAACTAAGCTTTTGATGGCAGTGCAGATGTGTACTTTACATGCAACGGCTTGAGGGAAATCCCCCCAGATTGCTGCAACCCATCTATCTGTGATTATCTCGGGCACAATTCCAGTGAATTAGTATGTTTGTTTTAATCTGGTAAGGCATTAATGGCATTGAAGAGTATGGGGATGGAAAAACCAAGCCCTCTAAAACACCCCCACAGTGGCCTCTCACTAAGCTGCCCCCCTGCAAGGATTAACTGTTAACTCAGCATTTCAGCAATCACTACAAATTATTCACTCAGTCTCTTTAACATTTCATGTATCAATTAATGTAAAGAAAGAAAGAAAAAAACAAAATTCAGCTCCTGTATTGATTTTAAAAAATACCCTTTTTTAGGAACTTCTGCTCCAGCTACTTCAATATTAATACACAATGTCTTCATGTAACCTCTCCAGACGCATCTACGGTCGGTTGTTTGCTATTATTACAAAGTTGGACCCAACCTGAACCTGGACAGAACAGTTGGAGTCATTTAGATCTGTGTGTTTGCATTTGGTCATGTCGCTATTATTGGACACCTGAACAAATAGCATTCTGAGGAACTGCACACACACACACACACGACTAAAAACCTCACTGTTTGCCCATGAAAGAACTGAATGCAAGCACCAAACTATGAGATTGCAACATCCTGCACTAAGCGTTGGAGTAAAAGCACATTTTTCTCTGGTACTTAACATTCACTTGTTTGTGGGAAAGGCTCTCACATCAACAGAAACTTAATACACAAATCTTGATGTGAAAAATGGCATTTTCATGATTTTAATTATTCATATACCTCACACTTTATATTAGAACCACTAAAGTCAAAGTATCTGATGGCATTCAGGTTTTGAAAACAATGCTGTGCCGGTTACATTAGAGTAGCCTTTTTTCTGTAGTTACAGCTCCTGGCTTTTTGGGATGTGCCTCTACCACCTTTGCACATTTAAAAATGTCATCTTTTTTCACGCATTCTTCTTTAGACTGTGAAGACATATTGAATGGAGAGCAACTGTAATAGGCAAGTTCTATCCGCGGATTCTTAATTTTTAGTGCAGACTTTGTTTGGA